GTGCAAGTGTATTGGAGGTGCCAAGGAGTGATTTGCCTCTCCCAACCCCCACCCCCTCTTTGGGCCAGTCCTCTGCCTTACTTCTTAGGGGACGAGCTTCTCACACTGGCATACTCCAACTCCCAGGATATAAGAATGTACTGGAACCTAGCCCACGCTCCCTGCAGATGAGCACCAATATAGGCCCATTAGCATGAATACCCCTGGAACCCACCTGCTGCAGGACCGAAAGACCAGACATTAATCAAGTTTTCCCAGCCTCCCTCCCCAGGACACTTTAGTGGCCCGTGAATCAGTTCTGGTCTGGCTATTGCCACCTGGTCATGGGGGCCAGCCAAGCTGACCTGCAGTCCTAGAAACTTACCTGTGAGGCTTCAGAGCCTGGAGCCTCGTTGCTGGGCCTGGGAGAGAGAAGACCTCACGGGTGCCTTCGTGGAATCAGAAGGCTGTTTATGCCCCACTCACTGCCTAGAGGGCCACACATTTAGTGCATCAAAACTTTTGCTTCACATCAAATAGACTCCTTACCCCAGGGAGTGGTCACATGAATTCTGGACATGCAGGCAGCCCCGCTGCTGATGCTCAGGCCATGCACCCAGGTCTAGGTCCCTGTGCATTTCTGGCAGCTGGCTTCCATGGCATGTCTGTGTAAGGGATGACAGGGTTCCCACTGGATTTGGCTCAAACTCTTGGTAAGTGATCCAATGTCAAGGGCTACTAATGGAGAAAGTGTCCCCAATGCCAATGCAACCTAGCTTTGGTCCTGTCTATCAGTGACACCCTGTGACCCTGACCAAAGGAGTCCTGTATGGGGAAGGATGCCATGTAGTTGTTTTCCCTTGTCTGCTGACTTCTGAGCTGCAAACTGCCCTGGAGATCAGAGAAGAAGTGAGCAACTCAATGGCTTCCTAGACAGACATGGTCTCATGTGCCCTTGATGGTAAAGATGAATGGGGCCCGTGCTTTTCTGTTTTTCAGGGATAATTTCAGTAGGGAGAGCTGCAAATCCTGCCCCCCACACACCCCATCTCAGGGGGTAAGGCATCCTATGGGGATGATGGAGGTGGGCAGCTTTTGGAGGACAGAGAAGCAATCAGGGTCCTCAGGGCTCAGAAGAAGAGTCCAAGGTGCCCCCAAATGTCTTCCCATATAATACACAGAACTCTATTTCATTACAGGCTTCTTTTAACTCAGGGCTCAAACTGCTTGAGTCATAGGTGACATTAGCCATTTCATAGTTCACACAGCTGCAGAAATGCTGGGAAGTAGGAATCAGGGGAGGTCTCTGGGTGGTACAAACGGTTGTGGTCAACTGTTAACCTGAAAGCTGGCGTTCAGACCTACCCAGCAGCACCATGGAAGGAAAGCCTGGTGGTCTGCTTCCATAAAAGATCACAGCCTAGGGTGTCATCAAGGTCACCGAGTTGTACACGGAGAGACTGTTTAATTGGTGTGTTTCTCCTGTACATGTTCCCAACAACAAAAATACAATGAATTATTTTTTGAGAAAAGATTCCGGCTAAGAAAACCCTACTGAGCAGTTCTGCTAGGTGCACATGGGGTCACTGGGTCAGGATTGACTCGATGGCAATGGGCTTAGGTTTTTTGTTTTCTTTCCTGTAAAATTACCATTAATTAGTTAGCAATACTAGGTACATCCACAGAAACTGCAACACACCCTTCTCCTATCCCCTCTCGCAGAGGCTGGGGAGACGGTTGAACAATTTCTCCTGTGACTTCTCCTTATGGTGGCTTTGATGATACCACTCCTCCACCTGCGCCAAAGAAGAAGGAAAACAATCGGGACAACTTAGTAAGCTGCAATGTTTTTTTCTATTTTTGTCTTGAGACAAGTAAAGTATCGTATTAAGAAGAGTTCATATACTTTGAGTCTTGGTCAATAGATAGCAATTAGTATTATGAAAATCCAAACAAATCATTGGTTGAAAAAAGCTGACCATCCAATTGTAAATATTTTCAGTTTATTTAAGTCTCATACTAATGGCCTAAGAGGAGGAATGCTTTCCGGAACGTTATCTTTTTTAAGATGATAAATATGGAAGACGGACAACAGAGAGCCAGCAAATGGATAATAGATGTTGTTGACAGTGAGCCCAGAACAAATGCCTGAGAGAGATTTAATGGGGCTGAAAAAAGAACAAGGTAAGTGTATTGAAAAGGCTCAAAGTGCCAGGCATGGTCAATGAAAAGAATACTACATTGAAACCTAGCCTGCTCAGAATAACTAAACACATAATGAAGGGGATAAAGAGATAGAGAGTCCCATAAACATCCACCCGCTAACAGAGAAACAGAATTCTGGTCGGACTCAGACTTCAGAGTTGCAGATGATAATGTCCAAAGAAAGCAGAACCAAGTCTGAATCAATTTTGAAGGTGAGAAGTTGTGATAAAACATATTTTGGAGCAAAATATGTTGTTAATTTATGAAAACAACAGAAAGCCATTCTGAGATATGCAAAGCCTCAGAGAACATGACACCCATATACTCTTCTTTTAAAATCACTTAAAGACAGAGCTCGGTTGACCAAAAGAGTCAACAACAGAAGAGTGGGGAAATCATGGCAAAAAGAGACCAGCCAGGAAACTTGAACAGTGAAGGCAGAAATGCATTAATTTCATCCTCATAATACATCATTATTATTGTCATAACACAATTTTTTTATTTATAATTGTTATATAAGGAGCCTTGGTGGCCCAGTGATTAAGCACTCGGCTGCTAACCCACCAGCAACTCTGCCAGAGAAAGATATGGCAGTCTGCTTTCCTAAAGACTGACAGCCTTGGAAACCCTATGGGGCAGTTCTACTCTGTCCTCTAGGGTCTCTATGAGTCAGAATCAATCAGACAACAATGGGTTTTCTTTGTTTAATAAATAGAAAATATTTGACATGACAAATAATTTATATAATATAAAAAAATAACAAAATAATGATTTATATAGCACAATTGAATAGAGTAAGAACAATTTACACAGACTAAAAGAGAAAATATTTAATAATGATAATGGGTATCCATACTGTAAGACACGAGTGAATTAGGGAACTGAATGGTATAAAAGTGATAACACCTTGCCTTAAATAAGTGATACTTTAAAGGCAGCATTTTATTTTTGACTCTGACATTAAAAAAAAAAAAAAAA